TTGATTATTTGTGATAAATCTATAACTGGTTTGTCAACTGATCCACCGATTCTATCCTACTTATTGTTCATATGTGAAGGTATACGTGTATTTGATTCATATGAGCTAGTGTGTTCATTTTCAAATATGTTTGTATGTGCATCAAAATCTGTCAGTCCAAAACTTGAAGTTTTTATTCACCGTCAATGTAATTGATTTTAATGCCGCTCTAATATATATATATATATATAATTTTTGGCAGGTTCAGGCAGTCAGTCAGTCAATCAGTCGTTAGCCTAGTAATTTCTACCCGCTTGCCACGCCAAGACCAGCTATTATTCGTTGAACGACCCAACTACCGCTTTTCACCATTTCTTAAATATATATTTAACCATAAGATTATAATGTATGTAAATGATAATTGCTTTAATTAACATTGCCACAACCACCACCTCTATGTATACTATGACGTCCATCACTCAAATCTCCCCATATATATATATATATATATATATATATATATATATATATATATATGTATATAATTCGTGCATGCTTTTTATCCAACGCCCTTAAATAACTCGAAACATATTTACTAATAATTCAACTCCATGTAACGCGTGAACACACATGTACAGATATAGACACACGCACATAAAACACACCCATGGGAGTATTCGCGATTACAAAAACCTAAAGCCAGCCATAGTAATTTTCCTATCAGTCGTAATGACTACGAACAAACATAGTACGACTCAATAGATTGCAGCAGAAATGTTTGTTTGTGTTGCATTAAAATTTTTAGCCATTTAGACACGTGGGAAGATTGATTAGTGTATTTATTTATCTTTTTCTCATTATTTCCATATATAGAAAGAGACTTATTTTGCTCTAGTGTCGTTCTGACTTTTTAGCACAAGGAAGATATCTATTACCACTTTTGTGTCATTACTAATAATACCATTACGACACATTCTCTCTCCCCAATGATTTTTTTTCGTTCTATGACATTTATCTACCGGCAGATAAATTGATAATCCAGGAAAAAAATAGAATAATGTCAATCATATATGAATTTGCTTTGGTTTACGATTTGTTTGGTCAGTCAAAGTTTGGGATTGTTAAGCATTTCATTTTGGCATATAGAACAGGGGTTTTCAATATATATATGTATATATATATGGATAGATAGATAGTTTTGTGTACACGGCGGTAGAGAATGATTTATGTATGAAGTGTTTGTCTATATGCTTATTACGAAGGTAGTCTATTCTTACCGACATATTTATATATGATTTTCTGGTGAACTATGTATGTATGTTTGTATGCGGATGTAAATGAGTGTGTAATTACTTTGACAGATGCATATTAAAAGGCATATTGTAAATACACTCACCTTATACATGATCACAAAGCTAATGATCCAACTGACATTGATTGATAGAATTTTAAATGTGCATAAATAAGTTTTGTACACTTACACTGACATAGATATATATATGGTATGTTTAATCAATTTTTAAAAGTTTTCTGTTTCTCTTTCACTTCCTCAAAGCTAGTTTCATTATTGTGAGCTAATCTAAATCACTGTGTAGAAAACAAAGAAACTTTATCACATAAAATCATTGAGATGATTTTATACAGAAAAATAAAGTATTTGTCTTTAGAAGAACGTAAAATACAAATTCACGGTGATATCATAAAAATAAACTAATTGTTTATTTTCACAGATTGAAATCATGAGTCAGTTGAAGCTAGACCACCATTGAAAACCTAGAAGCACTGGACGCCCGTTTCGTCCTAGTATGGGACTCCTCAGCAGGTTTTCAATGGTGGTCTAGCTTCAACTGACTCATGATTTCAATCTGTGAAAATTTCTAAAAATCTCCACAAACCCCTTCTGATAATTGTTTATTGTAAAAATAAAAACGAACATACTAATCAGTTCTAATGATTAGTTGATAATTTTGATCATGATTCCTACTAGTAGCCTGACGCTTAGCAGATTATTTCGAGGTGAACTACTGACTTCACCTGAAAGCGGTGAGAACTATAGAGCTATTTGGTCATGTTATAGAACTACTCAGCAATTTATGCATACAATCACGCAGGATTGAGCTAAAAAACTAACCATCTCATGGACAGACGGTATACTTAACCTACTGCAACATAATCTAATGAATTATGAAAAACACTAAATCATTTTAAGTTTTCAGAAATTAACTAATCCTTATTAGCAGTTAGTCAGGGTTAAAACGGTTATTTTATACACTGCATAAAATAGGTGATGCATTTCAGAAACATTTTTGTGAATATCAATGTGTTCCCTAAATCTCAATTGTACTTAAAGTCAGTGTTTAGTTATATCTTAACAGTGAGATGGGATAACTGTCCGAAATAAATTAGCTCAGTTACCCACTATTACAGAGAGATATGTCACCTTTGTGTGTTTCGAACATTGAAGTCTAATTTTTAACACGTTACAAGTTGGTAAGTTGCGTGGATGGTTACTTAGTCTAATACTGAAATATCATTAATACCACTAGAATTATCTATCTCACTTAAACAACTGGAATTAAGTATATATGTACATAAATATTGCGGTAGGCTGATGTACAACACAAATTTCATTATTATATTGAAAAATATAAACTATCTGTCAATATTCAATAGAGGTTTCCTGTCAGGTGTATGGCAATTCCAAATCATTTTTAGAAAAAAAATCTGCTTAAACTGTCAATATATATATATATATATATATATATATATATATATATATATATATACATCGCCTGATGGATTGAAACTGCCTAGGATCAAGAATAAAATGGCGTGATAATATGATGCATTGATGCATTTAATAATGTCTTGAAAATAACGGAACACATATTTCCTTACAATAAGTCGATATTTATTAAAAGAATATATAATTAAACAGCCTTCTCTATAGGAAGGTAATAGGTTACAATGAAATGTGAATCATAAATTTGTATTTTTTTCCTAGTCAAAGAGTGTATTTTAAAGTTTGTTTTGAGTTTTAAATATGCATATACACCATTATTTCACGAACTATAAAGTGACCGACTATAATGTAACGTAGAGTTTCCTCATCAATATCCGTATAACGGGGATAACGATGGGAATACATGTGTAAAAGTCGAGTTAATTAGTTACTTGTCTATTTTTTGTTCCGAATGATGTGTTTTGAACCAGCAAATCTATGGTTCCAATAATCTTTATATAAATCAGTTAGAATAAATGGATAATATGTTAAACTATCACACAATAACCCTGTAATTAGTTAATAAACCACTTATATAGTGAACAACTTTGATTACAATACAATGTTTAATTGAATAGTTTTATTGCTAAATTAATATTTTCGATTCTTAAGAGAATATTTTTTATCATCCGATTGTGTAGTTACTAGTTATATTGCATTATCATCAAACTAAAGCAAATAAATCGGTGTACCAATCTATGGTTCAGCTTCTACAGGGAATATATCGAAATTCTCCATAGATTTATCACTTTACATAACATAAAAATTGAATCAAGACAGTATAAGCATGGAACAAAATATATCACATATTCTCCTTATCCAGTTTGATTCATACACTTTCACTTCTATGTTAATCTATCTGATTGTGCATACAGTTTTATTGAGCACAAAACTTACTAGGTCAATCAATAACTCATCGTGTATATATATATATATATATATCTTTATGTGATAGATAGATATATACAAAAGAAAATGAATAATAAGGTAATTAAACTTTTCCATCCTTCACTTTGATAACAAGAAAAGTAAATGAAAAGAAGAAATTAATTAATTAATTAATTAAGATAATAACAGAATGAAATAAATCCGATTTAAGATAAAAGATGAAAAGAAACGAAACCTTAACAGTAAACAATCATATACATATATATATGCTTATTAAATAATTTATATGAATTAAAATTTTGCTTCGATAGAATTTATTGCTTTTTATGAAAGAAAATTTTGTTTGTATTATATTTTAATGATGATATTCAATTGTTCGAATGTATGATTATACCTGTATATATCCTATGACCTTCTTTGAAAGATTTTAAATAAAGAATAAGTGATGACATTCTGTCATATTATTTGTCACATGAACATTAAATTTAGAAGAAAAAAAAATAATTGAATGATAATCATATTGATGTAACATACTTTGACAAACCAAATAAGTATTTTGTAAGAGAGAATAAGAGAAAATGAAAGTTTAATGAATGATAGGACTTGTGTGTGTGTGTGTTTACTCTTAAATTAAAATGTTCCCATGATGGAGATGAGTCACTTAATAATTTGGTTTAGTGATATAAAATAACTTGTCAAGTTAAATTCCGGAGACTGTTTTCTAAAATTAAGAAACATTGGACAAATGGTTGAATTTTTAGTTTGGAACTCTATTTCGAATCTAGTAACACAATATTCATTGGAAAGATTAAGTTTTAGTCAATTTCTTTTAGTGTATAAATAATGATCAAATAACTAGTTTCTGATTTATTGAAGTGTTTCTCTAAAAACGTACATGTGTGTCAACTTGCTGAAAGACTTTGGTTTGGGTTCAAGATTAATTCAATCAAGAAAGCTTCAAATGTTAGCAACCATGATTTAAGGAATAAAATGTTTAATTGATGAATACAGCATGATCAGCATATCCACATATTTATCGTTATATGTATACTATATTGAATCCGATAATATCTAAAGTTATCTGTCTATGGTTGCATACAAATTTATATGTTTATGTACTAATATGTCTTCCCACGCATTATTCACATTTATCACTGACAATTTACTGACTTTTCTCTTTTTTTCTTGTTTTGTCGGTGCTTTAGAAATTACAAACTGTTAATTGTATCATTAAAATAGACTCTTTTCTTGAAGACGAATCAATTTTAGTTTGACAGATATACAAACATAATACATTTACTTAACAAGTACTGTACACAAAACAAGTTAACTTTTCGTTTTTCATATGATTATGCCATGTGTGGGAATTTTATCACCTATAATCATGGACACATCATCATCTTCAACTAATCAAATTAACACTTGTAGATCAACTGATTTTAGCCTACCTGAAATTAACTCACCATCATCACATACCCTTGAAAATTCTGATTATATGGGATCAGGACACCGGAAAAGCAGTAATAATAATATTGATATAAATAATTCCGATAAACCTCAGAATTGTTCGCCCGATTTATCACATTTATCGTATACAATGGTTAGTACTCCACAGCCTCCTCCATTGGACTTGTCCAATATACCGAATTCTCCAAGTAAATCTCAGGCTATAGATTTTATGGAGATATCAAGTGGGAAGATAAAAAACTCTCCAAAAACGATTGGTTCCCTTGAAACGAATACTACTTCTACCACTGTTACTGTTACTGTCACTACTACTGTTAGTAGTACAGCAGATACAAATCATGATGCATCTGTTAATAGTAAATCAAATATGAAATATGAAGTGAATTCAAATCCACAAGATTTAAATCCTATCCTTCCCACAATAGAAAAACTAGTCAATGTTAACTGGATCGAAGCATTAAAACAATATACGGAGCCACATATGACAATAAAAACAAATACCAATGAGTCAAGCTTAGATAATGAAATAGATTTAACTAAAACATCTGAGCATAACAACAATAATAAACTAAATAATGAACAGACACCATCTCCAGATCTTACTGCCCATTTTCAAGCAATAATAACTAACTTAAGTGAATTCTTATTTAATTCTTCACAACTAACGAATTTTCCCAAAAATCCCATGATTGGTAACTTAAGTTATTCTTCGCCATCTTCAGCAACAACTACTAGTGTATCATTATCTAATAGTTCTACTAGCCAAATAAATTCAGATAACTTGAAGTTCGATAATCGAAACCAACAATCGACCAGTTTATCGAATTCTTTATATCCGCAAAACTATATTGAACATCAAACAGGCTACAATATGTTCAATGCTGCTGATCTTAGTTCAACGAATCCATCATTAGCAATAACTGCTTCTTTATTAAGTTTACTAGTTGGTGGTCAAAAACCAAGTCCATTTCTTGAACAGTCATTACCGCAACCTTCTACATACTCCAAATGTCCAATATCTTCGCCAAAATCTTGTCAGTCTCCTGACTTTTACCCTCAACAGTTTTTAGGAAATACATCTATAGTACCTCCACCGCAACCATCCCCATCATCGTCACAAGTTCCTCCATCGAAATTTTCCAAATCTCCAGTTACATTACAACATATACCTCTTCAAAGTTCTCTTAGTCCACATCGGTCACTAGCACCTACATCATGTCCACTAGTAGATTTGCCTAATTTGAATGAATCAAAATCATCTGATCCACGTGATCTGCTTTACCAACTTGGACAACAGCTAATGGCCATGGCAACATCTGGCATAAATGGTACAAGGCCTAGTTTAGACTTATGGAATATGAGTAACACGGATGGCAATTATAATTCATTAAATTTAACATCGTTAAGCAATCGTTCAAATCCTGCATACATTCAGCCACATATTAACTCAAATACTGGTCATATTCCTGAACAAGTCAAGTCACCATCCTTATCATCATCGTCATCTTTAGTAACATCTGTAACATCATCATCATTTAATACAAGTGGACTGGAAAAGAGTTTTCACCACATTCCACCCCCACTTCAACAACATCATCCTAACACGAATACGGGACCATTTAGTGGAATATCAATGCGTGGTAATCAAAAATACAGTGCATATTATCAACATCAAAGGAAACAAGGTTTTCAAACAGGTGGAATGAATGAATATGTTAATAATACAGTTGGCAGACGTCAAAGAAACTCTCTTAGCCCTTTATCGACAAATACACGTTATGTAGGACGTCGTTTAAGAAGTGGCTTAAATAATACATTACTATCTGCTACAAACTTAGAAATGAGGAATTCGCAAAGATTTCCAGCCATAAGAAATCAAACAGCATCAACTGGAAATACTGCTAATACTACTAATAGTAACAGTAATAATACTGGCAACACAGTTAGCGGTAGTGGCAATTTATGTCCAAATTTTCGTGGAAACACATCATACCGAATGATGTCTAATATAGGAGATATAGCTAGCAGTCATGTACTGAATCCTATAAAATCTCATCTTCAAGCCGAAAATATGAATAACACTACTCATGGACATATTAGTAGTAATAATAGCAGTAACAATAATTCATCTCAACAGACTACACGTCATCGTGAAACAGCATTCATATGTAGTTGTGGCAAAGATTTTGAAAGTCTCTACATATTTACTTTGCATATGAAAGATACTGGGCATAAACCAAAATGTGATCAAGCTGAAAAGGATATACCGAAATTGGTGAGAGGTCAGGATATGTGGATTAATAGTGAAACAGAACAAACACGTGAAATACTTCGTTGTATGCGTTGTCATCAATCATTTCGTAGTCTTCCTGAGCTTACAATGCACATGATGAAAACAAACCATTATTCTGAAATAGTATACAACGATTCTGGCCGTTGTGTCTTTGTTAATCCTGATGATAATCGACGAGGTAGTAGTAGCACTGCGGGTTCTAGTCATTATTCTGGAAGTAGTAACCTATCTCATACACCCGGAAAGTCAGGACTATCTGTTATTGGTACTTTCGGTGGGAGGAGATCACATCGAAATATGAATATGAATTGGTTAAATAACACTCAAACTAATAATTCTAATGCACGCTTATCATCTAATGAAGAATTGAATTCTGTAATGAAACAGAATATTAAACAACATACGCTTACATGTGATAAATACGATACTGATAATTCAGGAGAGATTTCGAAACGATTTGGACATTTAGATGATGAAAAACATCTTATAAAGTCTAATCAACTTTCTACTTCTAAAGGATACCGTGAAGAAGGGAAAATTGAAGATGGAGAAATCCAAGATAAATATCAAGTAGATGCTCAAAATAATATTAATTCATTATCATCACCAACATCATCTCAACTCGGTGTCTCTTTATCGCCATCTTCTACATTATGTAAAACTGAAGAAGAAAATCAACAGCCTGAAAAATCATCTTTAGTGTATGATGATGCTTTAGATAAAATTACTAGAAAACAAGATACAGAATTATTGGAAAGTGAAAACAACAATAATGTTCTGCAAAAAATGGAATCATTCGTTGATATATCAATAAATAATAACAGTTTATCAACTAAAAATGAATTATCGAGTCAAAATTTTATTCAGTCCACTTCACCTGAGTCTGTTATCAGTGTTGTGGAAAGAAATTCTCCAACAATGAGATTATCACCAAAATTACATCGTAAACGTACTTACTCGGAAGCTGGTATCTCTACTAATTCAGTTTCAGATATTCCAACTAATAATATTTCCACATCTGTTGATACTGTTTCATACACTCCAACTTCTAGTCCCGTTACTACGTCAAGAAACGAGTTAAATTATGATGAGAAACTTGATTCTGATATGACAGTAGATGATAAACAAATAATACCAAGCACTTCTAATTCATCAAATACATCATCAAAAGTATCTAGTACAAGTGAAATAAATAAAAATTTCTCTGAAAGTCCCTTATCTTCCTTACAAAAATTAGTGGATACAACACATAAACCAGTTAAATCTTCAAGTATATTAAATCCCAGTAGTTCTACAAATTATTCCAGCTTAAATTTAACAAATAATAACATGATATCGAGTAATACTAATAACAATAAATTTTCCAGATCTTCAGGCTTAACTAACACAACTACTGTTCATTCACAATATTCACCGAATAAATCCGGTATGAATACATGTCCTAATTCACCATATTCTGTTCATTCCACAGTTTCTTCTGGCAAACTTCAAACAAGTCCTTTATCATCACCAATAGCAGAAAATGATAATTTAATCCCTGCATTATCAGCATTATATGCTTATGTTGAAAGATCATCATCATCATCAACGCAACTTCGTGACAACCAGTGTAACTTTAAAAACGACTTAGCTTCTCCGAATAATGGTATTAATAATAATAATAATAATAATAATAATAATAATAATAATGGTAATAATAGTAGTAACAATGATAATTGTGAATTGAGTAAAGATAATTTATCATTTAATAATCCTGATAAATTAAGTGATATTAATTCCAGTGTATCTTCACCGTCTTTGCTAAACCACTTATCAACTTCCACTATTAATTTCAATGCGCCTAACTATCCATGTAATAACGATAATGCAAGATTATTATCATCCCAATCATCACCACAACATTCAGCAGTTATGTCACATATGTTACCAACATTTCCAATACCTACTCACCCATTGATACAAGCAATTTATGACGCTGCTATGTCTAACTTAGCAGGACAGTATTTAAATCCACAAATTTCTACTTCTTCAAGTAATACATCAATCAATGATCCTTTAAATACTTTTAAATATGCTGTAATGAATTTTAAAGAAGCATTAGATTCATTTGAAGTTAGTTCGACAAATATACAATCCAATGTAATACAAACACCACCACCATCATCATCAACAACAACAACAACCCCAATGCTACCATCAATCGGGAATAATAATGGAAATGATGGACAAACAATGGATTTAGCTAACAACTGGCTTAACATGTTACGTTCATTAGTTGAAAGTACGGAAAAGTCCGACGGAATTAATTCTGGATGTTGCAAATCGATTAATTCTTATTCTGAATCACCAAACTCCAACATGAGTACTGCATCAGACAGATTTGGAAATCACCGATTGGATGATTTTACCCATCATTCATCAAATCCAAAGTCATTGCCCACCACTGCAGTACATGAACAGTCCACATCGAATACACAACAGAAAATGTTACCATCTTTGCAAAATGATTCAATGCATTTAAATTATTCTTTAGCAATGAATCGTAATAGATCAAATTACTCATATAATCCAACTTTACCATCTTCATCATCACCCATGTCAACAACAGTGATGAATACACCGAATATGTTGGCAGTTAATCGATCAACAAATATTTCATCATCATTTCATTCAATGATAAATAGGAGTTTAAGTTCTTATACTACTGCTAATAACAACAATAACAGTAACAATATAAGTAGTAATATCAATAATACCAACAATAATAACATAATGACAACAATTACTAAAAAAGCGAAATGTCACTTTTGTGGTAAACCGTTCGCTAATAAAGGCCAAGTACGATTGCATATTAGTAAAAATAAATGTCCATGTCTGCTTCAACAATCATGTCATGTAGCAGCATTAACAGCTGCTTTCGGATCGAGCACTAATAATAATACTAATACAGTGACAAATAATAATAATAGTAGTGTTCGAAAAATACCACAATCTGTTGGAACAGTTAAATCAAATCCAGTTAACACTTATTTATCTTCCACTGTAACTAAACGTAATAACAACATTACCAGTGGTAATACTATTATTGCTACTACTAATAATAGTAACGTTAGTCAGAACTTTACTGACTCAATACATCATTGCACATCTAATTCTCTTGGATCTAATTCAAAAGATGATTTGACGAGTGCTCCATCTGCTTTGAGCTTGTTGAAAGAGCGATTCCAAAATTATGATGTTAATCAAAATTCAACTAATTATCCCAACTTCTCTTCATACTTACCTACAAATGTAAGTAATTCGTTGGAACTTAAATTAACTCCCGCATCATCTTCTACGATAGCATCACTGTCATCTTCAAACAGCGTTTTCCCATATTCAAGTAAGACTTCCACGGCTTCAATGCCGATATCATCTTCCATGTCCAATATGTCATGGTTAGGTGGGTTAAATTGTACACCATCATTCCCAACCTCTCAGTTAAATAAAGATGCTGAATTTATGAATACTTCAATTCCAGGGGCAGCTTCTACCGCTGCTGCTGTAAATGCAGGTCATCTGGCTGCTATGGCATTGCTTGCTCAAACTCTTGTCCAGTTAAAAAATGCGTCACAGTCACCTTCAACATCTAATCCACCCCTATCCCAGTTGATGGACAGTGTTAACAGTAATATCAGTAAGACCAATATGACTTCGCCAAAACCGAATTCTTCGGAAAATTTATCTGAACCAAATAATCCTCTATTACCACTTATTGCTTCAAATTTGCTTAATTTAAAACCTTCAAACCAAACAACACAATCTGGTACGCCATTTAATTTCAATTTAGAGAGTCTGTTTAATCAGATGAATATGGCAAAGCAGTTGAACTCATTTAATTGGCCAATAAATAACCAAGCAGTGAATATAGATGATAATCAGTCATATCGACAACCTCAACAATCTCAGCAACAACAACCACAAAATTAGTAGTAGCAATAATATTAGTAATAATCTTGATGAATAGATGGATTACAAATTGGTCATCTTAATTCTAACTACGAACTTATTCTTTTTATATAGGCCAGTTATTCAAGTCATCAATTCACGGTGTTCCATTTCCATCAACACCTTCCAGGTTTATTTTCGTTCAATAAATTTGCAATATACATAATTTTCACTGGGCTTATAAATTATTCTTATTTCTAAATAACCTTATCATAAACTGTCAATCATATAGAACCAATCAGTAATATAATCTACAAATTATATTTTTTGTTTGGTCTTATGTTGAGTCAGAGCGCCATGAACAATAATTTGAAGAAAAAAAAGCACAAAAAACAAAATAAAATTAATTTACTTTGAGAAAATTTACATTATTCATACTGGAAAATATTCCAACTTTGAAATACTAACCCATTACTACTTTTGATATTATTTGCTTACACAATTACCATAACACTTTTTCCCTTTTAACTATGTATGTATAAAACTGACTTATTGGTGTCCTAAGACCCTTTCTTCTTTGTAAATACTATAAATATTACTACTGTTTGTGAATTAATCATAGAATGTTAAAACTCCTAATACTACTGTTACTCAAAATATCGACAATCTTCAAATGTGACATTACAAACTGATTTCGTAAATTATAATAATTCTACTTAAAAATAAAATCATTAATAATCTATCAACGGGAAGGTATACTGACAATAAATTATTGTGATAATTATTGGTTGAATTGTTTCCTATTTTTTATTGCTTTAATTATGATCCTCTATTTTCATCTCTTCAACGTTTCTTCATTTGTTATTTGTTTTTTTTTGGGGGGGGGGTCAATGAAACTAAGAGTCCTGCCTAGTCGTTTCTTATATCATGTCTCATCATAACGAGATGGTTACTCTAAGTAGCAAACTACTGTAAGATTTGTAATATTGTTCAATATTATATTCATTCTGTCATTTATTTATTGGTAAATCAATTATCTGATCAGTTAGTAATTATAGTTTATTCAGAATTAAAGATGTTTACCGAATTATTTTCTCTTTGTCGTTCTTTAGTGATTTCAAACATAGTCATTCTCGTTTCATGACTACGATATTCTTCTACTTTACTCACCACTGAAAAGGGTTTTAGTTTTTATCAAATTTCTCTTTGAAACAGCAAGTAGGAAACCTACCATTGCGTTGCTTTTTCAAGTTTTCTCTTTTAATCTTTATTGTGATTTTTCTCTTCTTACCTGCCTACTTAATTATTCATTTAGTTTTTAGTTTTCGTTCAACTATGATATATATATATACAGAAATGTATGAGAGAATCACCGGTTAAATTGTCCGCTTTCATGTTATTATCATTGTTGCCGTCGTTTCTTTTCGCATTTTTCTCTTATTGTTCAATTTTTTTCCTTCTTTCGTATTTCCTCTGTATGTACAAATGTCATATATATATACTTAAATCTTTAAAATAAATAATATTTCTGAGCAGTTATACTAATGCTTCTCTTCTCATCGTATCATTCAAGTGGTATGTCATCTAATAAAGAATATTTATGAGATATTATTCCACTGATATACTACTATTAACTCATCTTCACAAACAATTATGAATAAGTTACTGAAAGCTCTTAAATAGGAATATAATTACCAAGCGTACAAATTTCATAAATCAATGAGCTGTATAATTGGATCATTGTTTTTATTGATCAGTGTAGAAGTGGCTTTTCTAATGTCTTATTGTGTAAATTAAAGACAGATAATAGAAACAACAGAGAATGGAATCAAAATTTTCGTTTAAAATGTACTAAAAATCACGTTGAGTTACTTTCCAGCGATGAATAAATAACAATCAGACATGGTATGGTTAGTTTTTTATCTGGAATATACCAGATCAGGATATTTTAGCCATACCGTGCTTGAAAACATTTTTCGAAAGTCTAGTACACATTTTATCGGCAGATACGGTTCTACCAAACATTTTTAAAATTCAGTTTCTGCAAGCTAGACATATCCGATCTCATTTATCTTTTCAATTTAATTGATATACAATAATCTGTATGATTGTGGGGTTAGTGAAAATAATTCTTTAACCGTTTTCCTATAATATCGTGTTTGGCGATTTCAACATGCATAGTTGTGTACCATTCAGTCAGCTTCTATACGCAACATTACTCACATATCATATTTCTGACTGAGAGAAAAATAAAGAGAGTATTTGAAAGCCGATTCTGTTTACGATAAAATTTAAATTCATCAGTTTGATAAAAAGAATTACCCTAATTAAATCATACATTGATATTCATCAATGGATCTCAGTAAAAAAATACTTGAATATCAGTCATTAAAAAGTAGTTTAAAACTTACTTCATTTACTTTTTGCTTAATAGCAAAAATACTCATTTGTCTACTTTTCATTTGTGCTATTCTAAGCTTAGTGTATAAACTTGTTATTGAGTTATGGGTATTTAGTGTCACGATCTCAGTCAATGAATTGATGATTATTCATTCATGATTACTCATTCTTCAATTTTTTTCAGTTGGTTCTTAAGCATAAGCAACAGTCATGACAACATGTAATTCAAAGTGTTCTAAAAGGTAACTGTATTACTATTATTCTACAAGTAATTGTATTTAAGTATTTAAAGATTTTTATAGAGTATTAGAAAAAAGGATGTTTAAACAAAGAAAAGTTACCTTCAGCAACTCCAGTATTATAATTGTATATAATCCTCCTAATTAACTTGAAAAGCCTTAAAATCTGTCCGACTAGAAGAATGAAGTGAGATAATCTTATTTCGTTAGGTTTTTATTAGTTACTTACAGTCCATAATAATTCAGCAAAAAATATCGAAAACGGAGTTCAACATATAGAAGTGAATTTGATCTTATGTTGTAATGTAATCATTTATCAACATTATGCATATAAAAAATAATAAGATTTTGCAAATGAACATCACTAACGATATATGATTCTGGAACAAAAATTATGACTGTATCAAGGGGCTGTAGTACCTAGACCAAGTAGCAACGTAATGGGATAAGTGAAGGGATGATGATAGTGATTAACAATAAAGCTACGTAATTCTGATCAGCTGAAAAATTTTAAAAACATGAGCTAGAAAAAAAGTTGAAAACCGATACAATTGAATAAGGTTTTTGTTTTGACGATTAAAAAAACTATTAAGTCCTAAGTATACAAATTAAAATTTTGGCCACCTGAGAAGTTCAAATCTAGCAAATTTGAGAGGACCAAAGCCTGTTTGTATGTTAATCACTTCGCAAGATTTCGTATCAATGAGATAAATAAAAATCCCAATATAGATCGCTTTCGTTACATTTTAAACGAAAGATTTTTTTAGACATTTCCAAGGATTCTGAGTTATATTCTTCTTTCAGTTCTGCCGCTGTAACTAATTTAGTGCACAGTAGTCTATACGGATTGTTAGCAGTAACAAACTAATCAGTATTATACATTGGAAATACCTGGTTTTACGTCTACTACAACTTAGATACTGATTAATCAAGTTGAATTATACGGTGATAAAAGAAAGGCATGATACAATGGTAGCAAGGTGTTCAGTCATGATCATGTATGGTTTAAAATGGAAAAACGGTCATTTTAGAGTTATTATAATAGTAACTATTATAATGTGACATGAGATAAGGAGGTTGAATGCTGATCTAAATTAAGGGTCATATTTGTAAACTGACTTGATGTAAGTGATGTAAGTTTCAGAAGTATTTAAACATGGTGATTCAGGCAAAGACGTAATACGAAGGCGAGATATCTCAATGGTTCAGAACTTTCAAAAATTTCCCCATATATGTAATTTAGTTGTTATATTAAAGCTAATTTCTCGTGTTATTTAATCAGCTTGATTTTTTAAATGAATATATTTCATGATCTAATAAAAACTTATTAATTTTCACTAAATTTCCCGCTTTTCATCTTTACTGTGAAAGATATCATAGTTATACAGGCGCTCTAACTATTATGCAATAACTAATTGTAGGTACTATTAAAAGGTAAGTTCAAAAGATGCTGTCATTATATAAATTAGTATAAGTACGCGTACCGCTGTAAACGTGATTTAATTTGATATGTACACGTATACACGTGTAAATTTGTTTTAAAGATGATATATAGAAGCATACATATTGAAAGATTACATATATCTCTTTAAAACAGGAATGTGAATGTACATAGGAATTATTAAGGTAACGAAAACTTGCAACTCATTTATCAATCCAAAGGGTCGAAAAAATTCTGATATTCCTCTACCGTAGATCAAAACATCATTAGTCAACTAATAATGTATTCCTTAGTACTGTGCATTACATATTATACACACAAGCGCACATCTACACTGACATTATACTATTGAGTAAAAGTCGATTTAACAAAAGTGAAAAAAAGTGTTTCCATATTCTTTTACTTCTTCTAAAACACTTTTTGATACAAAATAACAACCAGAAATTCCTAATCTTCAAAATCAACAATTACTATATTGGCGAAACATACGTGTTCAGAGAGAACATTCCTTTATTCAAATATTCATCATTACGGATATCTTTTTCCAACAATTATATATGTAGCATAGTATAATTGTTAAAGGAAGACAAATCTTCATCTATTTATTTTCTCCATATAGGTCAATTTTTTATCACACCAGCTGTTTTCCGAAAATATGGTTTTCGCTATAAAAATTATACACATACGTATAATTATATATATATATATATATATATATATATATATATATATATATATATATATATATATATATATATATATATATACGAACGCAAGCATATACGAGAGATTTATCTCATGTTACTTTAATCTTTTTGCGGGTAATTAATGGCTTGTAAGTGAAAAATATTGAAAAAAATGATTTGATACAAGTTTTAATGTCATGACATTTTGAGTCGCCTACTGCCTAACTGAACTCATCCATCATCGTCATTATCGTCATCAATTTTGTTTGTTGTTTGGTTAAAAAAATACATACAGCTGACCTTGATAAATTATAGCATTAAAAGTAATAATAATATAATGATAACCGTGTCCTACCACCCTTACTGTTTAAGTCGACGGAAATGCCTGATAAATGTATATTTTATGACATTACATAGATCAAAGTAATATGCGGGACTGACAATCTCCATTTGTGAATGAAATGAATAACTATGTCGGCACTGTCTAGAAAGATTGTTTGTAAGTAGTTGTGTAGGGTGGTACTTATCTTCGTAATTGTAGCTATAGTAGCAATATTAACGACTGTAGTGGTGGGGTTAGTAGTAACAGTAGTAATAATAATATTTATCTTACTTACACTGCTAGCCTTAGTAGTAGTAATATTAACAGAAGTAACAGTAATATATCATTGAAACCTTGAACTGACACTGGCAGCGCAAATTTCGACATGACAAGCGGTCTGTAAAGCCGGAACTAGTCAAATATACATAAAGAGAAGCAGAGAAGCATAAAAGTAATTCATTCGGCTGACTTGTATGATTGATGGATCAGTAAAAATAACTATTTAACTAACTAACAAGCTTCCTATCTAATATAATGGGATTTTGTATGTGCAGTTACATATTTACCAATAGAAATTAACATTTCTTCCGTATCATTGCCTAGTTTACAAGAAAATAAATACATACATAAGTTTGTTAGTAATTGCATATGGAATAAAAACAACTCTACCAATATCAACAAGTCATACTGACAAGACAGCTGCTGCCTTCCTAACATCATCCTTTAGAAAATAACAATAATAACAACGAACAGTTAAGTGATGTCGATTATGATCAATGATTTTAAGGTGAATCTGAAGATTACCAAACACAGAAAAATAACAAAAAAATGTGAAGTGTAGAAAACACAACAACAAAGTTATTATTATCGGTTTCACTGACTATCAACAATAGTAGCATTACTACACCTTATATATATATTCGTATGAAAATTGGGTTACATAGACTAGTAGTACTTTTACACATCAAAAGAAAATAGTATAAAATGTTCCGACATTTGTGTAAAAATATTGGTCACATTAATAAGGGTGATGGATTGTGTTTCCCTTTTTCCTTTCTTGTTGTTGTGCGCATATTTTAAAGAGAAAACTATCACCTAGTGATTTTTGACAAAATTTTTTACTTTTCCTGTGTATATACAAATCACAGATTAAAACCTACAACCTGAAATGTTTTACTCTACTAAAGAGCTTAAATAGGTGTGTATTACTTTATTGTCTGACATATCTGTGTATATATTTATGTTATACACCGTTCTTCACCATGCGTAATATACAGTGTATGTCGATTCATAGACATGATCATTAATCATTTTGATACAAGTTCAGAGGCAAGCTATAAATCAAATTGATGTCAGACCAACATTTTAATGTCTCTAGATTTCCACATTTTTACTCGTCTCTTTATTTTTGCTTCTTTTTCTCTCTCTTTCTGGATCTTATTGCTTCGCTAT